CCGTTGCCGGTCCCAGTCCGGTACGGGTGCGACACTGAGGGTTGCAATCTGTTGCCGGTCATGAAAAAAGAAAAAAAAGGAAAAAAGAAAAAAAAAAGTTCTTAATCATATGAAAAGATGGCCAACTTCACACAGGAAAAATGCAAATTAAAACTACACTGGGATATCATTTTTCACTTGCTAGAATGGCAGAAATCCAAAACTTTGACAGCAGCTCTGTTGATGGGTCTGCAAAGAAACAGTTGGTGCTCTGTACATTGCTGGTAAGAACACAAAATGTTGCAACCTCATGGAGGGCAGCTTGGCAAAGTCTAACAGAGTTACAGATTCATTTATCCTTTGGCTCAGAAATCCCACTTCTCAAGTTCTACCCTGAAGTTTTACAACCAAAGCACAAAACAACGTATGTACAAGCTGTTCACACTGGCATTGTTTTTAATAGAAGAAAATTAGGAACAACTCATACTTCCAATCAAATAAGACATGTCAAATAAAATATGATATAAACTAACACTAGGCCATCCTAATAAAAGAGTAATGAAGATCTCTACCTAATGATCTAAAGGTATTTCCAAGATTTTTTTAGTAAGGGAGAAAAGAAGGCAGTAGAGTTGTGCATATAATTTATAAATTAATAAGAAAAAGAGGAGGGGTGTGTGTGTGTACACCTGTGTATACTGTGTATGTTATATAAGGGTACATACAGATTTATAGAACATATGCATTGTACATAGGTATACACACATGAATGCAAGAACACAGAACATAAATTAGAAACTTATGAAAGTAGTTACTTTCAGGGGACAAAACAGAACAGGAGGACTTTGAGTTCCCTGAGTATTTTTTTAAATATACATTTGCCTTTTGAACAACAAAAATGGTACGTATATTTTTAAAAAACACAATTAAATCAAAATTTAAAAGCAAACATTGAAATTGAAAACCAACTGAAACAAGTGAACCTGGTTAAATATCAGATTATAATCACATGGAGAAAATAATAATTTCACACGAGTTTAAAACACAGTAATCAGACTGTACATGCTTAGTGTCATATATTTTAAGGATTGCAACAGAATTGCAAGCAAAGCTTGAACTTTATTCAGTAATATTATTCTTAGCAGTTATAATAGTGTTCCTACGTTGAAGTGATTTTTTCTATATTATAGGAAAAAGCAGTAAGTAATTATATAAATGTTACTAGAAACAAAGATTTTAAATGCAAAAGTGATGCAAGAATCAAATAATTAAATAAATTCCTATAATGTTTCATTTGAGTTGGAAATAAAATATGAATTCATGATGTATATATTTATATATCACGTATGTTTGTGTATATAAAACATATATTTATATTTTATATATTCAATTTATATATATATAAATTTATTTATATTTATATATACAGACAGTCCAGAACTTGTGTTAGGTCTGACAATTTTTCAACTTTAAAATGGTGCAAAAGTGATATGCATTCAGTAGAAACCACACTTTGAATACCAGTACCACCATTCTGTTTTTCACTTTCAGTACAGTATTCAATAAATTACATGAGATACTCAACGCTTTATTATATAATAGGCTTTGCACTAAATAATTTTGCCCTACTATAGCCTAATGTAAGTATTCTAAGCACATTAACGGTAGGCTAGCCTAAGTTATGATGTTCAGTAGGTTAGATATATTAAGTGCATTTTTGACTTATGATATTTTCAACTTATGATGGATTTATAGGGATGTAATCCCATCATAATTAGGATAGCATCTGTATATATTTTCTAATATACACATACATATATATAGTTAAGTGCTGTTTAATGATGTTTCAGTCAATGATGGACTGCATACAGGATGGTGGTCCCATAAGATTATAATGACTATACCATATAGCTTAGGTGTTAGTAGGCTATACCATCTAGGTTGGTGTGGGTATACTATGTTGTTAGCATAATGACAAAATCACATAACAATGCATTTCTCAGAACGTATCCCAGTCATTAAGCAACCCATGACTGTATTTATCTTCTAGTTCTGGCCACTGAAATGACCTAAAAGAAATGGCACCGTAATAGCAGTGAGCACCCTATCACCCAGTTTGAGCTGCTAAATTTTTGTGTTCACTGTTGCTTGGAGAGATGACTAATGGCCTGATGCCAAAGTATTACCTAACAGGTTACTTGCTAATTGCAAAGTGGCAAAATGCTTTACAGTGGAGAGATCTGGCTGTCACCCCCTAAACCTAGTAATAAAACATGGCAGCACTGCTTGTGGGTATTCGATGTTGTGTGTTTCCCCTTGTGATACATAACCTAGAAATTATTCCTACACCAAATGATAAATCTGAATCTATTCAGCCTCTTATATTCCTTTCTAGATATTGTAAATTTAGCTGATTTTTTCCCTATGATGTCAATTAACTTATTCTTTGACCCTCTGGATGCCCTGCAAAGTTGAAATGCATCTAAGAGTTTAATTATAGTACAAGCCCAATCTCTTCAATGTTTTAAAATAGAATTAGAATTTCTGCTAGAGGAGGTAGGAATTTGCATTTTTCATATGCTCACCAGATGATTCTTACACACGTTAACGTTTAAGATTAGTACCGTACAATATTCTTGAGCAGAGAATATATTCTTGATGAAGAAAGTTGACCTGGTAGTTGGGTGAAGCAGGGAAACAATTGCTTTATTTCAGGTAGGAAGAAGAAAGATAAGAATTAAGCCGATAGAAGTTGTCATAGAAACATCATAAATCAGGTTTAGTTCAATTAAGCATTATCATATGACTTTTTTTTTTCTTTTTTAAAACAGTAATAACTGGAATTGCCAGTGAATCAACTACATTGATAGGAAAAACCACTGGAGTACAAGGTAGTGAGTTTGAATTGGGATTCAGTACCTAGTAAATGGCTAAATAATCACAAAGGCTGATTTATTCAAATCAATTGTACTGATCAGAAACAAAGCTACTGAAATAGATGAAAAGATAAACGATTGGAATTTTTAAAAATATTTAATATTTGCCTTGATTTCCCAGAAATTTCAGAAATTAATGTAATCCTACCTATTTTTGTATGTTGACCAGGTCTGACAGGAGGTTTTGTGGGAGCTTCCACTGGGACAGGCAGTGGAAGCACAGCTGGAGCATCAGGCACTGGGGCCACCCACCCAGGAAATCCAGCAGGTAAGATAAAGCCTGTCTTGGCATTAGAACAATGGTCAGACACAAATGTCCCAGATAATTATTATAAGTCTAAGTAAGTTTTTTTTTTTTTAAAGGAGATAATTAAAAGAGAAATGATTGAGGAAAATTCTAGCAATGATAAAATAAGATTAATAATGAACTTTGCCAAAGAGCATTTGCAGCACAGCAACCTATAAATTTATAGGCAGAACCTTGTTATTTTTCAAATTGGATATTACTTGAATATCAGATGCAGCAACCACTTCAGCTTCAGGTGAAGTTGCATCTGAAGCACCATTCATATCTAAAATTATGTTGAAAGGAAATGTGAGCTGCTGGATTAAAATTTGATTTAGCAAGAGTTTGTGAAGAATTTGGTAGCTGTAAATGCAAACAATTATATTTGGCAAAACAGTTATTTACTGTGAACTTAGTATTGTGATCCTGTAAAAAAAGTAATAGTGACATCTAACATTTCATCTCATGTGTGGTCCCTAAATGTTGTTTTTGATTTAAGGACTTCTTAGGATATATATGCTCGTCCTGTTAGTTACAATTTCTTTGTCAAAGTTCTGCATTTCTCCACACAAAATCATGTAAAGCACAAGCTAAAATAACTGAATATAGGTTAAAAGTGCTCAATAGCTACAAAATAATGTTAGTTATTTTTGCATTTCATTGACTGATTATGTGATTTTGCTATAATAAAAATATTTGAGTTCAATACATTCTTTTTTTTTTTTTTGAATAATAGGCTGCTGGATATTAAAAGCTTATCAGGCCTCAACAAGGATATTAAAATTTCATAGTAGAATTCTTCTTTTGCAATCTTTTGCATAAAAACACTATCTTTACTATTATAAAATGTTTGTTATTTATAATATTAACATATTTTTTCATAAGATTT